GGATCACGTGATGCCTTTGAGGCTAGCTTCTACCACTCCGCTATATAATAAACTCTTACACCAGACACAGTGGATAAGGAGGTATTTTTAAAATATGGCTCCTACAGAAACATCACCGAAAATAAAATCATACACACACACGCCCCACAGCTTTCTGGCTCTATGCCTCCACCCCTAGCACTGCTCTCACCCTCAGTATTCTCATCCTTAAACATCCAGGGTAAACTCTCCTTCCTGTTACCTTCCTCCTCTGCAAGAGTCTCTTTCCTAAACACTCTCCTTTCCTGTACTGTATCCACTGCAAAACTCACAAAAAGTATAGGCTATTTTTTAATCTATGCATGCATTCCTAAGGTTTTAAGCACCAAAAGAAAGTTATCTTTTGGCCTGGCACAGTAGCCTAATGGCAAAAGTTCTCGCTTTGCATGTGCCGGGATCCCATATTGGTGCCAGTTCTAATCCCAGCTGCTCCACTTCCCATCCAGCTCCCTGCCTGTGGCCTGGGAAAGCAGTCGAGGACGGCCCAGAGCCTTGGAACCATGCACCTGCATGGGAGACCTGAACGAAGCTCCTGTCTCCTGGCTTCAGATTGGCTCAGCTCCAGCAGTTTTGGACACTTGGGGAGTGAACCAATGGATGGAAGATTTTTCCATCTCTCCTTCTCTCTGTAAATCTGACTGTCCAAGAAAAATAAATCTTTGAAAAAAGAGAAGTTATTTCTATTCCGTTCTTTCCACAATTTTTTTTAAAAAAGATTTGTTTGTTCTCATTTCAAATGCAGATTTATAGAGAGGAGAGACAGAGAGAGATCGTCCATCCATTGGTTTACTCCACAAATGGCTACAAAGCAAGAGTGAGGTTGATCCAAAGCAAGGAGTCTGGAGCTCCTGCCAGCTCTTCCACGTGGGTGCAGGGGTCCACAGAGTCAGCCATCCTTTGCTGCTTTCCCAGGCACATTAAGCAGGAGCTGGATGGGAAGCAGAACAGCTGAGATTCAAATGCATTCTTATATAGGATGCTGATGCAGCTGGCAGAAACTGCACCACCTGCTTAACTTTATGCAAGCATAAGGCTTAACTTCATGCCACAGTTCCAGCCCCCATAAACTTTCTTTGTTTTGTTTTATTGGAAAGTCACATATACAGAGAAGAGGAGAGACAGAGAGCAAGATTTTCGGTCTGATGATTCACTCCTCAAGTGGCCACAATGGCCAGAACTGCACTGAATCAAAGCTCAGCTCCCTGCTTGTGGCCTGGGAAAGCAGTCGAGGACAGCCCAAAACCTTGGGACCCTGCACCCATGTGGGATACCCGGAAGAAGTTCCTGGATCCTGGCTTCGGATTGGCATAGTATTGGCCGTTGTGCTCACTTGGGGAGGGAATCATCGGACAGTAAATCTTCCTCTCTGTCTCTCCTCCTCTCTGTATATCTGACTTTGTAATAAAAAATAAATAAATCTTAAAAAAAAAAAAAGAAACAATACGGAACTGATTGCCTTGCCCATTTTCCTGTAGCGCTTGAACCTTTTTACCCTAATTATGTCAAGATTGTAAAAAAAAAAAGTGGCGCCCATATGGGATCCCAGTAAACACGACGAGGATTTTAGCCGCTAGGCTACTGTTCTGTTCCCCCTGTCCCCGAAGAAACTTTCAAAAAAGTTTTGGCCTGTGTCTTCCACTTGATTTTAAACTCCTCAGAGACTCCAATACACAAATGCTCCTCCGTTGATAGCAGAGTTCCAGATCAATCCACTGTAAGCTGAAACTATTTTAAGTGAAAAATGCACTTGGTACCCCTAACTTACGCAGCACACTACTGAGCAGCTGTGGTCTCCCAGGAGGCTGAAAGAGGAAAAGACCGCTCACCCCTAGGCCAAGAAGGTACCAAAATTCAGCTCCATACCATCATAAAGTCAAAAGTCTGTCTTCTAAGTTAGAAACCAGCAATTTGGTACTAACGCAATGCCTTGTACTTCATCACGACTTCACAAATGTTTGGCAAAGGAACAATTCTTCCGAAATAGTCACTACACCTCATGAGGCATCACTATCCAGCAGTGGGTGGAAAGTGACCTGAGCACCTGACTCTCCTAACAGCTCAAATGCCTTCTGAAAAGACTGCTCCCCAGTCACACTCATAGGGATTTCCTGCCATTTCCCAGACAGCTAGTCATCCTGAAAAAGGAAATCTCCATTAACTACACTCAGGCAGAGTGCATTCTGTGCTAAACTGTTTTTTTTTTTTTTAATACAACACAATGTTAGATGATCTGCACATACTCTTATCTACACCTTCAGGCTGGAGGAAGACACAGCAGCAAGCAGCTTGTGTTCAGGTGCTCTCCTTGTGCTCGGTCCCAGCCTGTATTGCCTTCCCCCAAAGCAACGTGCTTTAGATTGCCTATTGGCACAACAGGCACAATACTCCCATTTGATAACATCGGGGCTCCGAGGCACAGTCCAGTCACCCTCTAGCTGCTCCATTCCACCTTGGAGCCCCCTTTGAAATGCTGAAGGAATGAGTGAGGGACGCTCACCCTCCTGAAGGAACCCAGAGCCTGGTGTTCAGTTTCAACTTCAGGTCCTACCGGAATCGTCTCTCGAAGCTACGGAAGGCCAGTGCAACTACAGGCTAGAACAGGTCACCGAACACTACCTACTGCTCCTTGTGTACAATCTGTTGAATTTGGTTCTCAAATAACAACTATACAAGAGATGTGCAGATAAGCTCAACACGTGGCTTTCCAAGTTCATTACCTGCTGGATAATAACTTTGAAGTGGACATCTATGACTTGACCTTGGATAATCCCACAATATAACCAAAGGAGTCTCTATTATGTAAATACAACTGAAAAGTCTCCTATTTTTCACTATTACGAGGATGATAACAAACATTTCCCCAAGATTAATTATGCACCAGGTGCTTTTTGGCACATCTTATCTCATCTAATCCTCAGGACAACCCCGTGTGCTTTTTATAGTCAAGTAGCTAATAAATGGCAGGGCTAGGGATTAAACTCCTGGCTAGCTAGCGAATGCTCCAAGCCCACATCCTTTCCACTAAGCCACACCAGCTCCTGTCTACTTTGCTCCAATAAATATGCTTTTAAAATTCAAGGAACTCAATGTAATATGGCATGTAGAAAGTCTGCATGCATAGAAAAACTGGGGAAAAACAAAGAAAGCCCAAGGCTAATAGTCATGAGCCATTATAATGTAAGATGTTTATATGGGGGGGGGCAACTAGGTGGACGGTAAATGGAAAAGCTTTCTATTGTTTCTATTACTTTTTTTTTTTTTTAGTAAATCCAAAAAACAAATTGCAAAAGTAATGGATTTTTTTTTTTTACTCAGGGAAGTTTTGAATCTCCGATAATGTCCTAAAGTTTGATGCCTACTTAGAAGTTTCCAGCGTAGTACAAGTTTCTGATCTCTTCCACGATGGGTGATTCTTAAATCTGCCAGAGATGTCATTTCTTGCTTCATCACATGAGGCTAATACAAAAGCAAGTTCAGTCCTCCAGCAGACGACAGACTGGCTGACCAGCAGTAAGACCCAGCCTGGGAGCAACACGGAAATCCTCACCGGGTGGATCATGACGGCAGGTGACCGATGCAGCTGCTTTCTGCTGTGCTGAAGTAGGCAGTTTCCGGCCGTTGGAAAGCAGAAACAGTACAAGGCCACCCTGAAGGAAAGACTAGCCCTCTGCCGTGGAAATGCTGGATTCTGAGAAAGAGCAGCAGCAGGCTGAGCCAAAGGACCCCCAGTGACCAGAAGGGCAGAGACACCCAAACTTTTGCCGGAAAGGACTTGGCTGCAAATGGCAGCTGACTCCGCCCCCAGCCCCACCGCAGCCTCAAATCACCAGGAGCCCTTCCATCCTTCCGTCCTGTGGAAGAGGCTCGTTCCTGATGCCACCAGGTCCTCTCCAAAGATTAGGGCTTCCACCAGGGACACCAACTTCACAGAATCATTCCTACACGACCCTCGCAAATATCCAGACACAAGACTTGAATTCCCACACAGCTCCTGTACAGCTTGGATCTAGTCCATACACTCCAGGCTAGACTCGTGGCTTTCCATTCTAGACGCTCCGTTGACTCGTGCTGGGCTCAGTCCAGCTGCCACCCCTCCAGGTGACTCAGACGGAAGGACATTTTTGTTTTCAAGGTTTCCTTATCACTTGGGCTATTCTCCCAGCCTTCTTTAAGATGTTCAAGCACGGTAATTTAACTGTAAACGCTCGCCCTTGAGAACGCGGATTCCCCAGTGCCCTCCTATGGTTGCCCCCTTTGGAATACAGAAATCTTTCGTAAAGGCTTCCGAAAAGGAACCGGGGCGCATCCGAGGCGTCCCCGGAAATATTGTCACCCAGATACTAAGAGGCGCGGGTCTCTTTGTTAAGAATTGAGCCGTCCAGCTCTGGGAGGCCACACAGTTCATGACTCCTTCTTGGCACCGTAGGGCCTCCGTCTCGAAAGCGCTGTCCACTTTCCAGGCCACGTTCGGCAACGTCCCCGCCCCGCGGGAGCCAGGTTGGAAAAGAATGTCGCCGTTTCCCTTCAGGTAGAGGTGCCTGGGGGTCAGGGGGAGAGGGAAAGGCAAGGGGTGGAGAGGGAGGCGGGTGATCGACGGGGATAGAACCCGGTGTCTCCTCCCCCCTCCGAATGCGAAGTAACCAATGAGGTGGCGCGGCCGGGCCGGCCGGGCCGCCAGTGCCATATAGTATGCAGCAACCGGAGGAGTCACGCTGGGGGAACGGCAGAAAGCAGCTATCCGTTTACACTACTTTGCTCTAGCAGCTATCTTAATGGTGACTGCGTGGCCGGGGGGGAAACCTGATCGGCCAGATCCAGCCGAAAGCAGGAGGGAGGGAGTGGGCTTTCTGGAGAGGGGGGAGGGGGGAGGGAGGCGAAGAAGGAGGAGTGAGAGCGAGTGGGAAAAAGAAAAGAGGGGCAAAAAGAGTGTGAGGGAGGGAGGAAAATAAACAACCCAAAAAATGTCCTCTTCCTCCCCCACCGGGCAGATCGCAAGTGCGGCGGACATCAAGCAGGAGAATGGGATGGAAAGCGCCTCGGAAGGGCAGGAGGCGCGCCGAGAAGTGGCGGGGGGCGCGGCGGCGGGGCTGACCCCCCCGGCTCCAGCCCCTTTCCCTCTGGAGCCGGGGGACGCCGCCAGGGTGAGCGCAGACGAGGGGGCCGCGGCGGCGAGCGGAGCGGCAGCCGATCAGGTACAACTCCACTCGGAACTTGTGGGCAGGCACCATGCCGCCGCCGCCGCCGCCGCTGCTGCTGCTGCTGCCGCCGCTGCTGCGGGCGCGCAGACCCCGCTGGCCTTCTCGCCCGACCACGTCGCCTGCGTGTGCGAGGCGCTGCAGCAGGGGGGTAACCTGGACCGCCTGGCCCGGTTCCTGTGGTCCCTGCCCCAGAGCGACCTGCTTCGTGGCAACGAGAGCCTGCTCAAGGCGCGGGCGCTCGTGGCCTTCCACCAGGGCATCTACCCAGAGCTCTACAGCATCCTCGAGAGCCACAGCTTCGAGTCGGCCAACCACCCGCTGCTGCAGCAGCTCTGGTACAAGGCGCGCTACACCGAGGCCGAGCGAGCCCGCGGCCGGCCGCTGGGCGCGGTGGACAAGTACCGGCTGCGCAGGAAATTCCCGCTGCCCCGCACCATCTGGGACGGCGAGGAGACGGTGTATTGTTTCAAGGAGAAGTCGCGCAACGCGCTCAAAGAGCTCTACAAACAGAATCGTTACCCCTCGCCCGCCGAGAAGCGGCACCTGGCCAAGATCACCGGCCTCTCCCTCACCCAGGTCAGCAACTGGTTCAAGAACCGCCGGCAGCGCGACCGGAACCCCTCGGAGACCCAGTCCAAAAGGTGAGCGCCAACTTTCCTCCTCCTCCTCCCCCACCTCTCTCCCCCACCCCCCTTCCCAGCTTTCTTTTTCCTCCAAGTGCTCACAAACATGGCGCTTACCTTCCCCACCAGCCGGGTCCGGCTGCCCACCTCTCCCCGCCCCCCACCTCGCTCGCCGGCCGCCGGAGTGGGCGGGGGGCGGCAGGGGCGAGGGGCGGGGGAACCTCTTTCCTTTCTCCCCCCCCCCACCAGCCCGCTTCTCTTTCTCTCCCCTCCCCCTCCCGCCCCCAGAAGTTTCTCGTCGCCAGCCTCGGCTCTCAGTCCCCGCCCCCACTTCGGCTGGTCAACTGCTGCCCGGCTTCCCACCCGGATCCCGCTGGCTTTGAAGTTGCCACTCTTTCCCCCGGGTTCCGGCCGGGCCAAAGGAGCGTGTGGGGACGCGGGCCCGGGGCGCTGCACCTCCGTAGGGTCGCGCCGGCTCCACGGCGCGCGGGCGCACACGCTCCCGGGTGGCCTCGGGGGGCTCTGGGCAGCCCCCCAAAGGCCTGCGGGAAACCAGTGGCGGTGAGGGGCTGGAGGCCCGGAAGAGGGTCTGGGGACGTCGGGGTTCTCGGTGACAGAGTTAATCATTCACCCTAAACCCGCTGCGCTTCTCTTCGCGGCGGTGGAGGCAGCGTGGGGTGCTGGTGCGCCGGGCTCCGTCGTGTTTTGAAACCTGATTCTGACCTCCGTGGGATCGGGTTTCAGTGCCTAGGGGGGTGGCGGTGCTGTAGGGCTGTGGGGCTCGGAGCGGTGGTTGGGGGTAGGGTAGGTGTCCACCCTATCGGGGTTGAACTTCTTGACTGCATGGACTTAGCCCCCTCTGGAAGAAAATGCCCGGTTCTCCATCTCTTTTTTTAGGTTCCCCCGACTCAGATCCTTGGGTTGTGTGCGTGTGTGCGTGTGTGTGTGTGTGTGTGTGTGTGTGTGTGTGTGTGTGTGTGTGTGTGTAGCGCGCCTGGCTGGACGAGGTAAAATAAGGAAAAGGTCGTCTAAGGGGAGGGCGTCTCCAGTCCGCGGGCAAGGGACAGAGAATCCGAACGAGCTGGAAGCTTCAGGAGGAGGAAGGAATCCGGGTCCCGGGGGCCTGGGGGAGGGGGCGCCCGCCTGCCCGGCCAGGTGCAGGTGATCGCTGGGCGCATTCCAGGGCCGACCGCTGCTGCCCCTGCGGCCCGGTGGGGGCCTGGCGCTCCGGCGCTGCTGTGCCCCGGGCCGGGAGGGCGGCGCTGCGGCCGAGCCGGGGCCCCGCGGTAACCAAAACAAGACGCGCCCCGCGACGTGCGTCCGTCCGCCCTGGTGCAAGCTTTTACAAACCAGAGGAGGAGACACACGGCATTTTCCGACAATCTGCCCCGCCTCTCGGTGCCGGTCGTAGGTCCCCTTCACTCTGAGCACCGACGGAATCCGGGGGAGCCAGAGCCTGTACGGGTACTGCAGCCTGCGCTCACTAGCCAGGCATGTCCAGGCTCTTCCCTGTCCCCACCCCCAGACCTTCCTCCGCAGCTCTTTCACTCGGTACCCCAGCCCCAGTTGCCTGGTGTAGGCCCTGCTCCGGATCTACCTCCCTCCCATCCGCAACCCGCAGTGAGTCACCCTCGGCTCATAAATCCAAGGACTTTCTGCGCCCCTGGTCCCGCAGCCCCAAAGCCCCAAAGTCCCCTCCCAGTCCACAGGAAAGCAAACCAACCACGGAGAACCCACTCCGGGGGATGCTGGGCCCAGTCCCGCTGCACCTCCAACCCCCATCCAGCCTCTGGAGCCATCTACCCTGATTTGGTTTCCCCTGCCGCCCAAAATCGGGATGCTGAGGAACAGAGCCCCACGCGGAACGCAGCTTAGGGCTGTGGGGCAGCGGTGTGATTCGCTGCAAGGTCGCCCAGCGACCTATATCCCCAGGCAGGCGCTGGATGATGGCTGTTTAATGGTCGCCCTGGCTTCCGGCACACAGGGCTGTTCTTGCTTTTGGAAGCATCTGTTCTACAATAAAGGATGAGTGAAACAGTTGTGAGTGTGATGGGGCAGAAGTTGGAGGGCAGGTGAGAAGAGGCCTCAAGATAACTAGCTGGCAGGCAGAGCTGCACATGGGCCTCCTCATGCTCTCTGGGCATTTCCTGCAAGCTGCTAGACACTCACCTGAGCCTGTGTGTGTGTGTGTGTGTGTGTGTGTGTGTGTGTGTGTGTGTGTGTGTGTGTGTGTGTGTGTTGTCGGGGCAGGACAGGGCGGTTCCTCGGTAGGAGAGACTAAACCCCCTGGTTTAAAATGCTTTTTCCCTAGGACAGTAACAGCATATTTTAATAGAGAAGAGCAGCACTTGGATGCCGCAGGAATGAATGTGTAGTACTGTTCTCTAGGTCTTGTTGGCTGAATTTTCATGTTCCAGATCACTGGGTTCTCCTTGGGTTTGTTGTTATTAAAAAAATGATTAGGACCTGAGATTTCATCTTGCCAGCCTGGCTGGCTGGTCAGAATCTGCTGAAAAGACCTCGGCGTCTAAGCAAAGCTATGAGACATCCTGCTGGGCTTCCCTTAGAGACTGCCAGCAGCCGGTGTACAAGCCGTTTCCCTAGCCAGTGGCACTGGGTTGACTGTCAGCCCCTGACCTTCTGACTGTCTTGGTTTCCCTTGTGCACAGTGAGTCAGATGGCAATCCCAGCACTGAAGATGAGTCCAGCAAAGGGCATGAGGATCTGTCTCCCCACCCCCTCTCGGGGTCATCCGATGGCAGCGTCACCAACCTCACCCTTTCCGGTCACATGGAGCCAGTCTATATGCAACAAATTGGAAATGCTAAGATATCGTTCAGCTCTTCTGGAGTTTTGCTGAATGGAAGCTTAGTACCTGCAAGTACTTCACCCGTCTTCCTTAATGGTAATTCTTTTATTCAGGGACCCAGTGGAGTTATCCTAAATGGATTAAATGTGGGGAATACGCAAACCGTGTCATTGAACCCACCCAAAATGTCAACCAACATTGTGAGCAATGGCATCTCCATGACTGACATGCTGGGCTCTACCTCCCAGGACGTGAAGGAATTCAAAGTCCTCCAGAGTTCTGCAGCCAACTCCACAGCCACCACCTCGTACAGCCCCAGTGCCCCCGTGTCGTTCCCAGGGCTAATCCCGAGCGCCGAGGTGAAGAGAGAAGACATCCACGTGGGGACTTCCCAGGAGGGAGGCTCCGTGGTGACTTTTACTACCCCAGTGCAAATTAACCAGTATGGCATTGTCCAGATCCCCAATTCCGGAGCAAACGGCCAGTTCCTTAACGGCGGCATTGGATTCTCTCCACTGCAGTTGCCTCCTGGCTCGATGGCAGCTTCACCAGGTAAAAGTCTCATTCGGGACCCTGATGCACAGTGAATGTTTGGGTCAGCTGCTGTCAGTGGTACCTTTAGGGAGGTCTGTAGATTGATGCTACCGCTCAGGTCCTCACTGGGTGTCACAGCTGCAAAATAGCCTGGATGCAGTCCCCCTGCCTTGCAGCACCTCAGTCGGCCCCAGCTTGCTTGCTTTCCTTGTCTCTTGGTGGTGGGCTTCTATTGTCCCAACAACTGAATGGAAAAATCCAGTTCATTTACGAGGCTTGCCAGTTCTACACTGATGGGAACATAATAAGCCAATCTGTGCTTACAAAATAACTCACTGCTTGACATTTTAGAATTAAAAATTAATAAAATCACTAAGAACACAAAATTTGTCGAGCTATTGGAAACAGTGTGTGTATTTCACTCAAGCATTATTTATTTGACCAAAAAGAACACCAACGAAAAAGATGGGAGCAATTCTGTCTGAATCATGTTCCTCCTGTAGATTAATGATGGAATCAAACGCACACACGAGTATGTTACTGGGTTTCTATTGCTCTGCCTGGATGCTCCCTCCTTAAATGTGCGGGGGCTTATTTGGGAAGACAATAAGAAGCCTTATTTTATGTTTGTGGTTTTTCCTAATGGCAGTCTACTAGCAAAAGCGCTGATCTGGAATTTGGGAAGCCCTGATGCTGACCTGCCAGCTCTTCACTGACTTAGAGCGAGTCTGGGTTACCCTCATTGTCTGGGCACAGAAATGGGGATGACTAGAGTTTGCCGATGGAGGCCATCAAGTTGGCAATGGGAGATGTTAATAATGCATGTTCGCCTTCCTCTAAGCCAGTCTGAAAGTTCAGATTCTTTCAAAAGCAAATGGAAGTCATTGATGGCCTCAAAGGTCAATTTCCTGTAAGACGGTTTTACCAAAAAAAAAAAAAAAAAGTACCACTGTCCTTTCCACTCCACTACTGTAGTCTACGTGGAGCTTAGCAGAGGCCTCCAGGAGAATGCTGCTGTGAGACCAGCCTGAGCATTTGTTTCCCTTTAGGTAAGGCGGTGATGGAGTAGGACATTCCTGGCTGGGTAATCTTCAGTTGCTGCAAGGCATGGGCGGAGCCAAGCTAAGTCACCGTCCAGCTGAGCTCTAAAAACGTGACAATCACTGGGAGAGCCCAAAGCTTGCTGTTACCCTTCCTGTCCTTAGGAAAATCTCCCAGCGGTAGGGTTCGTTTTAGACACTGCAAATTGAGCAGAAAATGGGGCTGTGTACTGGGGAGGTAAAAAGCCAACATGCTTTTCATGTGTGATCAAGAAAAGCACAGCTATGGAAAAGTGTTAGGAACTGATAGCTAATTTTTTTAAATGGAACCTTTAATGGAAGTAAAAAAAAATAGCATTTTCAGTTGAAAGGGTTAAGATCAAATAGCAAGGCTGTCAGCCCTTACAGTATATAAGTAAGTTGAAGGCATAAGTTTAAACAGGTGGATCCAGTAACATTCCTTCATAGTAGCTGTGTATCACAAACTTTAAAGCTTTTCGAGAGTTCAGCCTTTCTCAAACGCAGGTACCAAGCTTTCTGTAAAATATCTGGACAGGGTAGGCTGATCCTTCTGTGGTTGGAATGTGTACGGAAAAATTAGAATTGGAAATCAACTTTAGATCACATCTACTTTTCTCTTAGGATTTGTGTATGTTACCATTTATACATTCTCAAAAATATTATCTGTATTCAGTAGCAGTTGGGAAAATGTCACAACATATTAATGGCTCTGTCAAAAAAATACTTCGTTCATGTATACACTAGCAAGCAGTTTGACAAATACATAACAAAACAAGCATCTATTATTTTTGTCTGCAATTTTGGGAGAATTTTAAACATTGAGCTGCCTTTGCGTATTTTCATTTAATAGAGTGTTTTTAAATGGGGTATGAATTGTGGTACATGTAGCATGTTAAGGCTCCCTCTGTGATGTTGGCATCTCATGTGGGCGCCAGATCGAGACCTAGCTGCTCCATTTTTGATCCAGCCCCCTGCTAATGAACCTGGGAAAGTAGGGGGAAAACAGCCCAAGTACGAGGGTCCCTGCACCCACGTGGGAAACCTGGAAGAAGCTCTGGGCTCCTGGCTTCAGCCTGACCCAGCCCCAGCTACTACAGTCATTCGGGAGAGTGAGCTAGCAAATGGAAGATTCTCTCACTCTCTCTTTCTCTCTCATCTATCTATAACTGTGCCTTTCAAGCAAGTAGAAAAACATTTTTTTCATTTGTGTATGAAGCAACAAGCTGAACACAGCAATATTAAAAAAAAGTTAGCTTTTTATTTTACTTATTAGAAAGGCAGACGGATTGGCACTGTGGGGTAGTACATTAAGCCTCCACCTGCAGTGCTCACATACCATATGGGCACAGTTCCAGTCCTGGCTGCTCCAGTTTCAATCCAGCTCCCAAACTAATGTATTTGAGAAAGCAGCAGAGTGGCCCAAATCCTTGTACCCACATGGGAGACCCTTGAAGAAGCTCCAGGCTCCTGACTTTGGCCCAGCCATTTGGGGAGTGACCCAGTGGATAGAAGATCTTCCTGTCTTTCCTTCTCTAGCTGCAAATGTGCCTTTCGAATAAAAGTAAATAAATCTTATGATTATTTTTTAAAGAGGGGTGGTTGGGAAGAGCCAGCTCCTCCTACCTGCTGATTCACTCTCCAACTTCTGCAACAGCCAGGCTGGACCAGGCCAAAACCAGATTCAATCTGGTTCTCCCCTGTGGGTATCAAGGAACCAACCACTAAACTGCCCAGTGTCTCCCACGGTGTGCGTTAGCAGGAAGCTGGAGGCAGGAGCAGAGTCAGGACTCCAACCACAGACAGCTCAGGTGGCAGTCTATTACACCATCTTCTGCCCCCAGATAGCCTTTTCTTCTTAACACTTGTGATGAGTACTCGGTAGTGATTAATTTTTGAACAAAAAGATTTATTTTTATTGGAAAGGCAGATTTGACAGAGAGAGACAGAGAGAATATGGTGTCTGCTGATTTTCTCCCCAAGTGGCCACAGGAATTCGGGCTGAGCCGACCCAAAGCCAGAAGCCAGGAGGCAGGAGCTTCTTCAGGGTCTCCCACTTAGATGCAGGGTTCCAAGGCTTTGTGCCGTCCTCCACACCTTTCACTGGCTACAAGCAGGGAGCTGGGTTGGAAATAGAGCTGCTGGTATGGGAACCGACACCCATGTGGGATACTGGCAGAGGATTAGCCAATTGAAACATTGTGCCATGCCCATGATTAATTTTCCTAAAGATCAAATGCATTGTTCACTAGTTTTCATTCAGAGACGCTCCTTTGCTTTTAGGAACATAGGATCGTATCTATCATTGTAGATGGTAATATCGTCACAGCTCTGAGAATTCAAGGAGGAAGATGTCTGAGATGACTTGTGTTTAGCGTAATTAAACTTCTCACTGCAGATCAGAGCACACAGCCCAGTTGGACTGCATCACCGAACGCTCTCTAAATGGGCGCACCCTCCGTGGCGCCTTTGCAGGGCTTGGGCTGTGGAATTGCCACCATTTTCGCTGCCCCTGGGTGGGGATGAGGGCTCCCGTTTCCCCTCTGCTGTCTAGTTATCTGATTTGAGCATCAGCTGAGCTTTCTGCTGGCACTCACTTTCTACTCTGCTCTCCACAGGCCATTATAGTGAGAGCCTCAAAAGATACAAACCTTTTAGAGAAGCATTAGCTCCGCTCTTTTATGTTAATCTGTATTTTTAAAAGCATATCGCAATGTTATCATTAATTCTTCCTATTACAACATTGCAAATTCAGAACCGGCACAACAAAAGGGGGAAAAAAGCCTTTTGAATGTTCTGTTGACTTGACATTATGGCTAGTTTGGTGTAAGTTTGCAACTTGTCTGTACAGGTTATATGGTTAACTTTGAAGCCCCAGGGAACTCATTTTATGTGGTGTTTTCTCCATTTCCATTTCCGCTTTGTCAGTTACTGAGTGGTGTTGAACAAAGGCCTTCTCTTTTGCATTTGCGTTTTCTAATTTTAACTGGCAAAGCCAGAAGTAACCATCAGCAAGTCAAGAGGTGGCAAGTCAGTAATAGTAAACCAGAAATGACTGAAAAAAAAAGACGTTCTGGTTACAACATATATTTTTTTAAGTTTTTTTTTTTAACTTGAAAATCAGAAATACCAAGAGAGAGATGGGAGAAAGAGAGATCTTCCATCCGCTGGTTTGCACCCCAAATGGCTGTCCCTGACAAAGCTGGGCCAATTGGAATCTGACAGCCAGGAGCTTCTTACAGGTTCCCCACAGGGGCACAGGAACCCAAGGACCTGAGCCATCCTCCACTGCTTTCCCCGGAGCTAGATGGGAAGTGGAGCAGCCAGACAAAAATTGATGTTCATAGATGCTGGCAGCACAGGCAGAGGGCTAGTCGGCTACACCCCTAGGCTGCCCTGTTACAAATCATTTTTAAACCAGTGGTTCTCATTCTCACTTAGTAATGAGAAATGACTTCGGGAGTTGAAAATACAACTCTTCCAGGACTTAATGAGTCAATTTAAAGGAATAGAGCCTGACAATCTATAGATTAAATGTTGAGGGTGAATCTCTCTAAGGATTGGTCTGTGTTATGGTATAGAAGCGTGGTTGTCTTCATACTGTCCCTAAAGGGGGGGGGGGGAAATCTCACGTGTAAAAAAGAAAAAGATACTTTGTTTTCATTCCCTGAGACTTGATTGGTGCTAATGAGCACTCTGTTGTTCCAGGTAATATTGTCCATGCAAGCACTTCGGATGGGAGCACGTTTACCAGCGAGCCGGCCCCTGTGCAGCCCGGCAAGGTGTTCCTGAGCTCGCTTGCTCCGGGAGCAGTGGTGTACACTGTCCCTAACTCTGGCCAGACTGTCGGATCTGTGAAACAGGAAGGCCTGGAGAGGAGCCTGGTGTTCTCTCAGTTGATGCCTGTCAATCAGAACGCGTCAGTGAATGCAAGCCTGTCCTCTGAAAGTGTCCCGGGCACTGGCCTCCATTCCCTGGCCTCCTCATTGATTAACGTGTCCCCAAACCACAGCTTCCCCCTGACTCCCCCTACACTCCTCACGCCCCCTGAGCTCAACCCTGACATTGCCGACAACCAGCCAATGCCTGCACCTGTGGCCAGCAAAGCCTCAGTGGCCCCCGGCAACAACACTAACTATGCAACGCTACAGAACTGCTCTCTCCTTACTGGTCAAGAGCTATTGTCCGTCCCTCTGGCTCAGCCTGCCCTGGGGGAAATTGTTTCAACCTCTGAAGACCAGGTGGGCCACCCCTCCCCGGCTGTGCACCAGGATTTTGTCAGAGAGCACCGTTTGGTTCTGCAGTCAGTGGCTAACCTAAAGGAGAATTTCTTACCAACTTCTGAAAACAAAGCAACAAGCAGCTTAATGATGCTGGACTCTAAATCTAAGTACGTCTTAGACGGCATGGTTGAGACTGTGTGTGAAGACCTGGAAACAGACAAAAAGCTTGCCAAGCTCCAGACTGTCCAGTTGGACGAAGATATGCAAGACTTATAAACTTTGCGTGCCCTTCCCCTGCCTTTTGGGCACCAGAGCTCTCCTCGAGAAGCCCTGAGGACATGAAGCAGTTCTCGTTCAGGCGGAAAACACTACTTTCACAAGCAAATGTATTCAAGAGACGTTAGGTCTGCATGAAGATCACGGTTAAATACCTAGGAGTAGAATTGCGTTGCCGCAGCCTTTTTTTCTCACATACAATGAACTCTTCAATAGATGGAAACAAAGGAATAAGATAAAATGTATCCAGTCGACACGTATCTTTTAGTTGACAATATAGTTCTAAGGAACTTGAATTGAAAGTGGAACTTGATTTTTTTTTTTTAATTTAAAAATGTCTACACAGAAAACTGAACGCAGCCGCAGACCGTTAGAAACAATGCAATTTTATTTGTTTACTTTTAATCCACGGGCATTGATAAGATTAAGAAGCATATATGGTACTCTAACCTGTTCTAAGGGTGTCTTTTGGAAATTCTGTAGCTTAATTATATATATGTATATACAGGCACACTTAACATTTTTTGAGAAAGGCTTGGTTGAGGTCTCTACACATTTCCCGATGTGACTGCTTGTAGTTCAGTCCTGTGGCTGAGAAAGTTTGAAGCCCCGCCGAAAACTCGGAGACAAACTTCAGTGTGAGTGTAAATATGTCAGTTCTATATGCAGGATCTGAGTAATTACAGTGAATTTTATTTATGCTGTGTATCTTCCTCTTCTACTTCAGGCTCTATGAACTGAAAAGAAAAATGTTTTCTTACTGTTTAATTTATTTTTATTGTTTGAACAGGAAGTGAACGTAGTTGTTTCCAACAAAATTTGACTTTTTGTAGAATTTTAAAAGCAATGATTTTTCTTACCAGGAGTCTATTAGGGTCAATATTACTAACACTGAGACCGGAAATCTAAGTCCCAATATTGGAATTTCAGTACTTTTTCCTCGCATCTTGGTTCCTTATTTAGCAACTCTGGCTTGTTTAAGTATGTTTTCTATTGAATTCTACGTGCCTTTTTACCTTGTGGCCTTTTAATTAGTAGTAAGGTACAAACATGTTCACAGAAGCACTGATGGGTCTTTTTTTTTTACTAACAGGGTTAATTTCACCAGGAGATTATCTCTGAGGAACTTAAGTTTCACTGAATAGTAAGTGTAATTTATCATGCAAGTGGGTACGCAACTAATTGTGGTTGATACCTTCCATTACACTGAAAATAACAGCCACACTGTAGATACCATGTTTAATCAATCCTTCAGGCTATGGAGACAACCAATTTAGAGCAAAGAAAGAATCTGAAAATTCTCCTGAGCAAACTCCTGTTGAAACTTCATTCTAAATGTTTTGAACCGGTTGTTGCGCAATGACACATGACTGTTTGCACTATATTATCTTGTCTTCTTTAAAAGTAAATATTTGGGGTTTCTGTAAGAAGCTTGTGTGATGTTGTGAGCTGTGGTTCTAGTTTTTATCAGAACGCACTGCAAGATGTGACGCTGCAAATACAAGTGTGTAGTGGGTAGCATTACTCTGGTCTCTGAAGAGCAAGAAAAGGCAAAAAAAAAAAAAAGCATCTCTCGGAGATGACTTGGAGTTGTTAGAAAGGAAGGTGTTTCTACATTTTGTTTTTCTAAGGTCAGAACAGAGGGGCCGCTCCACGTGTCCACGTGCCCATCAGCTGAGCGTGTTGAGTGAGGGCCAGAGAGGGTTCTCCCTGTGCTGGCCTTGCAGAGGGAACCTGCAAGCATTCATTGACAGCCCTGTGAGAAATTCCTCTCTCTCATCTAGAAAAAAAAACTTACGTCCCATTGTTTTTTTTTTTTATGGAATTGGTGAATATTCATAAGCTGCTGCAGGTTCGTTTTGTTTTTCCTGCAGTCAGGTGTTTTAGAGTTCTTGTCCACTCCATCACTAACTTACACAGCATGCTTATTCTTAGTGTGTGTGCGGATCGCATTTCTGAGATGAATAACCTGATTCTGTAGTGTAGTTTACATGAAAATAATATTTTCCACTTGATTGCTACAGAGATCAAGAGTTTGCTGGTTATTTAAAAATACCCATCCAGCAAGGGAGATGGGAAGGTGTAAAAAGTTATATATGTTTTATATATATAACTGGAAAAGTTGTGTATGTCTTCCGAAATATCTAAGCTTCTCGTTTGTTCGGAGTTCTTCCTCTTATCTCCATTGTGAGAAAAACAGCACAACGTTTAAGACTTAAGTAGAAAATCCATTCCTACTCCTACCATGATGTCATTTTAACCCTACAATTGCTCTAGGTAGTTATCCAATATTCCAGTTAAGAAGCAATGCACATTACAAAGAACTTGACGTTCTTTTCTATTCTTTCGGTAAATAAGGGCCAGTTGGTATATAGCCCATGTATATGTGAATGGAATAAGATAAACCCCCTGAGCTCCTTGCACAGAATTGCAAATATTTTTGCAATGCTAAGGGCCAGACTCAGCACCCTTGGAGTTCACATGGCAGAATTCCCCTCTTACATAAACCGATCCTTGAAGATGCTGCAACAGGCGCCCTCACGGTCCCGGAGGAGGACTCTTGAAACAGGGGCAAATCACTCCCTTCAGACCCGGAGCGCTGCTTCTGGCTGTGGGATTTTTTGGTGTGAGCCTATCTATGCACTCCTTCAGCTGGAGGTTGGCCTTTATCTCTTAGTTCTATCTAGTAAGGGACAGTCTATTAGGAAAGGTGCATTTGTTCCTCTGTTCAGCAGGAGCACTTGAGTTATACTACTTTGTATCTCATGTATATTTCCAGGAAAGACTCTGGACTGTCCACTTTGCAGTGCCTTTCTTGTGTTAAGAAAGGCAGTTAGACATTATAGCCATAGGTACAAAGCCAGTTACATTGCACACTAATCTCCAATCTCCTTGTATATGCCCTTATATCTTGCATGTTAAGAGTTGGATTATTGGGCCTGTATGGCAGCCTGTCCTGCCACATTGCCAGACACAGGTACATAAATTCTGCAATCACAGATCATCTCATGAATAAAAAATTTCAGGAAAACTGGGGAAAATTTTTTCATTTTACAAGAGATGTTTCAAAGTCTTCCTAAAGTTTAGGCAGAAGAGCTTACCAGTTTTGTTTTTTTTTTAATCTAATGGGTACACTTCATGTTCATTTAATATTACCACCCTACAGTTCATTAATCAAAATTGCATAGCATGTGACTCTTGCCTTTCAGGGTTCTCAAGTTTTTTTAATCTTTTGTTGCATGTACTGTATGTTTTGAGGCAACCAGTTATATGCTCAGTATGGTTTTACTGTGCCTTACACAGAGAGACTATTCAGAATGTCTATCCTGGGCTGGGGTAATGGAGTCTTTACTGCACTGTTAGGGGATGGCACACAGAAATGTCCCAGGATATTTCTGTGCTTAATTACCCAACCAAAGAGATCTAGAGTATGTATGTTGTACTGTAATGGGGGGTTATGCCTGGACAATTAAGTGTTTTATTTGTTTTCTGAAATGATGTGAACTTATTTTTCTAAACACTATGCTAAATAAACTTTATATTTATACAAGCTTTGTTTTGTTAAATAAATTATTCGGAGAATTCAATGCTTTTTAAAATGGGAGTAAATCATCTTACTAAGCAAAAATTTTTAGAAACTGGCTATTATTTCTCCCTGGAAAAGCAGAAAAGGGAGACTTTAGAAAAACCACACACACACAAAGACTGGCAACTACTTAAGAGTCCATTGGATTGGTTCTGGGGTCGTTGTAAAGAATTAGCTAATCCATTGCATTGTGCTACATATTCAGAGTTACATTGCTAGGTTTCATTCCTCTTTAAGGGAAGAAATGCACCTTTGTTTTTGCGTCCCAGGAGCTGAATGTGATGTGTGGCACGCAGGGGGGTACTCAGCAAGTTTAATGGAATTGGACAGAAAAGTTCAAAGACTATTCCTACTCCTATTGAAAGAGCTGAGTGTCGCCCATCCCCAGGACCTTGCCTTCAGCCAAAGTCTGCCCACAATGGGTCTTCTAGTGGTTTGACAGTCACTGGCCAAACTGCATTGCTGCTGAGTATTGGAAAGGCAGCCTCAGTACAGTCTGGTCTTAATTATGAAATTACACATGACCTGATTTGGAGAGCAAACTAATGAAATGGATTCTAGGGGGCCAACTATGCAATCCCATTGTAATACTAGTTAAAGCCATTGAACTAATTCTATGTGCTCTGTCACTGTTTTCTTCTCTCACTTTGCCCAATGACTTAGCCAATTTCAATGCACAATAGTCTAAAAAGTTAAGGTGAACATTGTCTCAGCAAACGAACCTACAGGATCAGAATGGAGTGGCTGTGTTTTATAACATTTTGGTCAAGTGAATATTTTTAAATATTTTGCCTTAGTTAAAATCAGTTTTTGTAGCTCTTTGGAAACTAGCCAATCCAATAAAACCCAAGGAGGAATGCACGGTCTTCAGCATTTTTATGGTTCCACCCACTTTTCCAGTTTCCCTTAGGAAAGAAGTGTGGAAATATACCTCTGCACATCACCAAGTTCAATACAGTAGGGGCTAAATAAATGAAAGACACATTCTGCAAATGGTTAGTGCTACACAGGGTGGCAGAACTGAAAACTCAATGGTAGCCGAGCTGGCACAGGTGGGCCGGGAAGTTCACCAAGAATGTCACATTTCAGCCAGAGGTTTGAATGCTGAGAGGGAGCCAGCCAGCAAGACCCAATAAAGAGCATCCCAGCCCTAGGGAGAGGCGGATGCAAGAGCCCTGGGGGCAGAGCCACCTGGATTTAGGGGAGTCCTGCGGCAGGAGCCCTTGGAGGGCAGGAGGGATTCAGAGCCCAGGGAGAGTTTTACTGGTCTACATCCAAGAGCCTGGATCCTAATCCGAGAAATCATTAGTGATTTATAAGCCACACAGACTACACAAAATGTCACTATAGCTACCATGGAGGATGGGATTTCAGAAGCAAGGGGTTAGGAAACTATTGTCAGGTTGTGCTGAGCTGTCAGAAAGTCCTCCAGGAGTTAAGCTGCAGGT